GCAGTGGTTGGTGCATGAGTTTGGTATGGTATGTAAAAGAAGAAAATTAAAAGTGAATATAGGAAAGAGTAAGGTGATGAAGATAACACAGAAATTAGGTATCGAAAGACTGGATATCAGATTGGAGGGAGAGAGTATGGAGGAGGTGAATGTAATCAGATATTTAGGAGTGGACGTGTCAGCGGATAGGTCTATGAAAGATGAGGTGAATCATAGAATTGACGAGGAGAAAAAGGCGAGTGGTGCACTGAGGAGTCTGTGGAGACAAAGTACTTTGTCCATGGAAGCAAAGAGGGGAATGTATGAGAGTATAGTTATACCAGTGCTCTTATATGGGTGTGAAGCATGGGTGGTGAATGTTGCAGCGAGGAGAAGGCTGGAGGCAGTGGAGATGTCATGTCTGAGGGCAATGTGTGGTGTGAATATAATGCAGAGAATTCGCAGTTTGGAAATTAGGAGGAGGTGCGGGATTATTAAAACTATTATCAGAGGGCTGAGGAGGGGCTGTTGAGGTGGTTCGGACACGTAAAGAGGATAGAACAAAATAGAATGACTTCGAGAATGTATAAATCTGTAGTGGATGGAAGGCGGGGTAGGGGTCGGCCTTGGGAAGGTTGGAGGGAGGGGGTAAGGGAGGTTTTGTGTGAGAGGGGCTTGGACTTCCAGCAAGCATGCGTGAGCGTGTTAGATACGAGCAAATGGAGGCAAATGGTTTTTAGTACTTGACTTGCTGTTGGAGTGTGAGCAAGGTAACATTTATGAAGGGATTCAGGGAAACCGGCAGGCCGGACTTGAGTCCTGGAGATGGGAAGTACAGTGTCTGCACTCTGAAGGAGGGGTGTTAATGTTGCAGTTTTATAACTGTAGTGTAAGCATGCCTCTGGCAAGACAGTGATGGAGTGAATGATGGTGAAAGTGTTTCTTTTTCGGGCCACCATACCTTGGTGTTAATAAAAAAATATATATATATTTCATTGTATTTGCTTATTATAAAATTATTGTAAACTGATCTACAATATATTTAGTTGGATTAGGCTAAAATAAATTGCGCTTGTTATAATAAGGTTAGGCAAGTTTTCGAAGGTTATTTTGATATAAAATTATTAATTTTTACATCAACATATATGAAAAATATATCTTTAAATGTACAAGAGAAAATTTTAGAAAGGACTTGATTTTAAATGAGCTCTTGGTAATTGACCAATTTTACTTATTCGGCACGACATATATATATGTATGTCACCCTGCCTCGGTGGGATACGGCAGGTTTGTTGAAATATATGAATGAATGAACGAATGAATATGTGTGTGTGTGTGTGTGTGTGTGTGTGTGTGTGTGTGTGTGTGTGTGTGTGTGTGTGTGTGTGTGTATGTGTGTATGTATGTGTGTGTGTGTGTATTTTGTTTAAAGCCTATTTAGAACTGAACTAGTCTCCTGTGCTCCCACAAATATCGTACATAACAAGATAACTTGTGTCTTAGCTTCTTTAGAGCGAAAATGAATTTTGTTCTGAGTAGGTGATTGCTGAATCAAAAACGAGAGCAAAATCAAAATGACATTCACACTGAGAGTGTGAATTAATTCCACTTGAAAGCACTAAGGATATACAGTCAAACCTGCGACTCCTGATCCACTGATGACGAACACACCGGTGGTAACACCTGGGGGATGGGGCGTTGCTAAGTAAAAACTACAACAACAGAAAGTGGGGCGAGTATTGTGATCTGAGGAAGAGAACTTGGTGGCTAGTGATTTACCTTTGGTGAGTATAATTTGCTTTTATTTTCATAGAATTTTTTAAAATTCATCTTCCCAGTGTTCTCGTTCTATCTTTCACACGAATATTGTGTGGTAAAACGTCTTGATAATCTTTTTTTTTTTTTTTTTTTTTTTTTTTTTTTTTTTTTTTTTCAAAATCTGCGTATACGTCTGTTTCTTACGGAAAGATTTTTTCCTCAAATGAATTGTCATTTCCCCCGCAAGCTCCGGTCCCAATATTTTTGATATATTTTGTGTCTAATAAGAATACTGAAATTTTTCCTTTCGAAGAAAAGTATAAGAGTAAGAAACAGACGTAAACAGATTCTGCTAAAATATAGGTCAAAATTTTCAAGAATATTCGTGGGAAAAATATAACGGGAACATTGGGCAGATGGATGTAAAAGTTTCTCAGAAAATAAACGCAAATAATTATATTCACCGAAGCTAATTCATTGGCCACGACAGTAACAATTTACTTTTCTTGTTATATTCAACACAGACAAAATCATATAACAATTAGGAACAGGTAAACTTACCCTTGAAGGTCGTTGCCTTGATGTTGAGGGTCTATTCTTACCTTCATATCTGAGTCCGATGAGTTTCCTGAGGGTATGATGGAGTAGATGCCTGAGATGCTGTGACCCATCATTGCTATCTCAGCACAGTCACGAGCTGCTGTTGAAGATGCTGTAGTCACTGGTTGTGCTGTGGTCGATGCATTTCCAGCCGTTCCAGACGCTGAAAAGGGGTATCCAACGTTCATTATCTGTCATAAATATATATATTATATATATATATATATATATATATATATATATATATATATATATATATATATATATATATATATTATAATATATATATATATAGCATAAGACACAGTAAACAGGTGATTTCAGAATATGCAAAACAACCACTCTGAAAGAATAGAGAAATTCCAAGCGCTTTCGTGACTACTCACATTATTAAGGAACTATGAAAGTAAAGCATCCAAGGAAGCTATATAAGGGGTCTGGCCAACACCTCACTATCAGATCCCACAACGGTTAAACACCTGACGCGCGCCGACCCAACTGGACAGGTCCTTTGCACAACTCACCAACAAACTATGAGTGGTTGTTTTGCATATATATATATATATATATATATATATATATATATATATATATATATATATATATATATATATATATATATATATATATATATATGACAAAGTGAGAGATGTCACGGGTGCTTTTTTGCCTGAAGACACAGTGTTTGTGAGAGATTCTGAATAGGAGCTGCAGAGGTTCGTGAACGAGTTTCGAAGGGAATGTAAAAGAAAGAAATTAAAGTGAACATAGAAAAAAGCAATGTGATGATAAAAAAATTAGGTAATGAAAGATTGGATATCAGATTGGAGGGAGGGAGTATGGAGGAAGTGAATGTATTCAGATATTTGGGAGTAGACTTGTCAGCTGATGGGTCTGTGAAAGACGAGGCGAATCATAGAATTGATGAGATGAAAAAGATGAGTGAAGCACTGAGTAGTCTCAGGAGATAAAGAACTTTTTCCATGGAAGAAAATGTACGAGAGCATAATGGTACCAATGCTCTTAATTAAATGGGTGTGAAGCATGGGTGGTGAATGTTACAACAAGGAGAAGGCTGGAGGCAGTGGAGATATCGTGTCTGAGGGCGATGTACGGTGTAAATATAATGCAGAGAAATTGTAGCTTGGTGATTAGGAAGAGGTGCAGGGTTTCTGAAAGTATTATCAAAAACCCTTGTTTTTGATTTGGTTTAGAGAGGATGCTAGTGATCGGGGTTCCCTCTCGGCTGGGCATCCAGCTGTAGCAAGGGTTCTCTTTATGATGCCGTTGACCTCATTGTGTCTTGCATGCCAGCCCTTGGTTTTGGAACAGTTAAGACCATGTAGACCGTATTGGTCTGCTTGCGCTTTGCTGCAAATACCCGTATATTCTGTGTGAATTGGGGCAGCAAGGCGCAGAGCCGCTGCAATACAGAGGGTCTTAGGGTCGAGTCGCGCTCCAATTGCCGATATGGGAACTGTTTGGAGGAAGTCCCTGGAGTGATGTGCACTCACAGCCTGGAGACGGGCAGTCTCCCAATCTGATGTTGCAGCCCTGAGCATGTTGGCAGGCACCTTATCAGCGATCGGGCCATCCCAGCTTGACTGTTTGTGAGCCAGTGCTGCACCATTTTTTGGTGCTGAAGCAGCAAGTCTCTCTCATTCAGTGATGGCACTGGCATAGCTAGGGTCCTGTATTCATGTTGAGTCACTGAGGTTATCAGGAAGAATTTGTCTTATCAACTTGCTTGATGCTATGGAAGAGGATAGGAAAGCTAGTAGAGCAATCTGGGAGGATCTGCGTACTCCTAGCCCCCCAAGCCTGACCGGAAGTGAGGCTTGCAACCACTGTCCATCTTCAAGGGAAAGATTCAATACATTCTCTAGCATGGTCTTAAGGAGAGAGTCATATTCCTTGAGTTTTGGACTGCTGAAGGCTGGGGAGCATCTCAGAAAGTAGGTACGTTTTGGGATTGACAGGCACCTGGTGAGTAGGTAGAAGGCATCATGTGTGTCAATGTCTTTCATCCTGCTTTCCATCGTCCGGAGGTCTGGGACTTTTTTTTCTAGGATCAGATCGATGGCATTGGACCCAAGAGAAGCACCAAGGAGAGTGCTATTGGCTGGATCAACGGCTCGTGCTCCTGGTAAAATGGCGCTAATATTCTGGATCATCTGTCGATTGGTAGAAACTATTTCACATTTGGTGGGGTTTAAAGAAAGGCCCAGGATTTCTCCCATATCTTTAATTTTACTGATGTCCTCTAGGAGAGATTCTGTTGTGCCAGCCAGGGTACCATCATCCAGGAACCAGATATTGAGCTCGCTGGAGAGTGCTTCTGTTACTTCCTTGATGACCAAACAGAATAGAAAGGGGGCGAGAGGGTCCCCCTGTTGCACGCCCTCACATGAGTCAATTTCATGGTCCCCAAACAATAGTTTGGAAGTCAAACTATAACACGATTCTATGAAGGGATAAAGGGATGGAAAGTTTCTATAAACTTCTTGGAGAGCAGCATCCCTTCTGACTGAGTTGAAAGCATTGGCAAAGTCCAATTTGACCAAGGATTTTTCATCGGACATGTCTTTGATATATACTCGTGCTGTGTGGGCAGCTGCTTCACAGCCCTGTTGAGCGCCGAAACCGAGCTGAGTTGGTTTCAGCATTGCAGCATGACTCACGACTCACCCTTCTTACTGCAGCCTTGGCGACTAGGCGCCGAAGGGTGTTACCCACTGCAATGGGCCTGATTCCGCCATCCTTTTTCCAGATGGCACACAATGAGGCACCAAAGAAAAGGGGTCTGATGGCCTCTGGGACACTACCAGCCAGGCACAGGTTGGAAAATTTGGTGAGTTCAGACAGCAGCCTCTCTGAAACATCACCAAGTGCTGGATTGAGTATTTGTTTTAAGTGTTGAGGCCTTAAACCGGTGAAACCTCCTGCTGAGCCCTGTGGAAATGACATAGCAGCTTTATACACATCAGCATCCTGTAAGATTAGATGTTCTTCGCCTGCTGCAATGTCAGGGAGGTCAATGTTGGTACTGGGAGCCCTGGGTGGATATTTGTCCTTCAGAGCTTGCGCCGTGCTGACGTCCTTGGGAGCGATGGTATCCTCACTAGTTATAAGCCTCAGAGCTCCAATAGTATTTCCTCTTCTATTTTTTTGCTAATTTGGGCTCTGATTTTTGAGGTGTCGGGTGTCCTGTTGTTGGCATTTGCCCGGCGGGTGTTTGTCGCCCTAGGGGGGAGATGGACGAGGTTGTCATTCCTTGGGAATGCATTTATTGCCCTAATAACATGTGTTGCTAGTGACTTGTCCCTCTTTGGTGGGACAGCCAAACAGGCATTGCCAAAAAGCAACAGGTTGTGCCAGGATCTGTTGTTTGAAGGAGCATCGTTGACTTTCTTCAGAAGGTCAGTGAATTTGCTAGCAGCTTGAGGGCGAGCTGCTTTGGGGGTGTGTGTCAGAGTCCTGGTGGATGTTAATTTGATTGCAGATTTGAGGTCCTCTGTAGAAGTGAAGTCACGGTAGCTGTCAGCGCTGTTTGCTGGGAGGGGCTGTTGGTTGTTCTCATTTGGAGCTCTCCTGGAGCCTAGACATCCATTGTGTGCACGAATGTTGCCAGTTGAGGGACTGACTGCACATTTCCTGTAGCACACCCGGCAGATGCCTCGTGAACGACGGCTTTGGCTCTGTCGTGAAGATTCCTGGGAACCCGCAACTACTTGTGACATTGCTGATATCGTGCGGGTGGGAGGGCGCCAGCTGTGGGGTGACGGGTGAAGGACAGCAGGGATGCATGGGGGATGAGGGTGGAGGAGTAGCGAGCGGCAGAACTTGTAATTGGTGGGACACTAAACGGCAACACCCTTGGTCAGGAAGTCAGTGGGCCTAGGCTGGGATGAGGGGAGGGGATCAGGGATGGGGGGCGGAGGGAGTGGGCCTGTGTGTTCGCTCAAGATGCACATCACTGACTAACTTTTGCTAATTGTTATACACTTTTTGTTCCATTTAGAAAAAAACCCTCGCCATTTGGCACACTAATCACCATGCTGGAGACTTCAATATCAACCTTGACCTACCAGATGATCAAACTGTAACTGATTTCATCAACAATATGAACAACACATTTCTCATACCAACAGTAACTAAACCAACCAGGCTGACTGAGACAAGTGCAACCATAATAGACCACATATGGACCAATATACTAGCCCCCCTTAAATCAGGGATAATCACAGGCAGCACTACTGACCACTACCCTACCTTCCTCTTAACAAACATTAGTAAGCCACCACTCGAATACAACAAAGTTTCATTTAGACTCCATGACGAGGCCTCAATAAGGAATTTCACAGCAGACCTAGAGATTGTTGACTGGCCTACAGAATTTTCAATGCCAATGGTATTGACGATTGGGCAGACATTTTCCTTAACAAAATACTTAGACTATACGACAAACATTGTCCTATAAAAACGAAACAGATCATGAGTAAACGGCTTGGTTGCCCATGGCTAACCAGCACCATTCTGAAATCCATTGATAAGAAACACCAATATGAAAAGCAATATAGACAGGGCTTAATACACAAAGATATTCTCAAACAATATTCAACAGTTCTCACCAAACTAATAAAAAAAGCCAAACAACTGTACTACTCCAGCAGATTCACTGACGCAAGAGGAGATATAAAAAAGACCTGGAAAACACTTTCCCAGATTCTGGGGACCCACAAACTGAAAAAAAAGAATATTGTTCTAACTAAACCTTATGAAACACCACTGCATCCCACTGATACAGCTAACAAGATAAACGACTTCTTCTCAAACATAGGATCTAATCTCGCCAGTCCTCAAAGACAAGGTGTCTTTGAGGACTGTAGAATTAGACACAAGGTGTCTAATTCTACAATTCTTGGTAGAATTAGACACAAGGTGTCTAATTCTACCAAGCCTAACCTATTTCTTGAGGTGTGCACTCTCCGACAGCCCAACACTTAATGAATATGACGCACTCCTCAGATCTATCTTTACGAAGATGCTGAATCTGTCACTGGAAAATCACCACTGGGATCAAACAACACTTCCGGTGCGATTGGGATGGGAGGTATAGGGATTAGCATTATCTGCATTTCTGTCCTCTTGCATTGCATCCAA